TTTTTGCTTTATTTTTCCTTCCAACATAATTTAAGAATTTAAAAGCGTCATAAATAAATGTCTCAGCATCTTCAGTACATTTTCTTTTTAGTGTTTGGGATATTAACTGTGTATCAAATTTCTAATACAACATATATCTTTCAGAAGTAAATTATTTTTAGAATGTTCTAAATATTATATCGTTTGTTTTTGTTTTTTTAAAGCATCACAGCAATTATTTATATCAACGAGTTGTCCTGATATGTTAAAATATGCTTCCCCAAAAAACATTTTATAATGTGAAATATTTATTTAAAAAAATAAATATTAAACAAAGGCAAACTACTTTATATGTTATTATTTAAAACAAAACGAGGATTATTTATATTTCAAGGCTTCATTTTTAGGAAATCCCTTAGCAGTTTTAGAAAAAAAGGAAAAAAAGCTTTAGTATATTTTCTCTGAATAAAAAAATTACAAAATTGTAATCAAGTTAATGATCTCATTAATTTAATTAAATATATAAAAAGATTTTGTTGCATTTTTTGGTAAAATGAACAAAGTGAAAAGAGTTAGCTCTTCAACCAATTTTAAATGCATCTTCCCATGGCTAATTAACTATGAATATTCAAGTCAGTAAAAAGAAGATAAAACTGGCAAATAGAAATATATTAGTAAAAGAAGAGAAAAATCACAAATGGTATATAATTAATAGAGTTGTTAAGCAGCAATTTATGTACCAATAGAACAAACATGTATCACTGGCAAATGTTTAGCAAAAGTGTGATTTGTCCAAAAATGTGTAAAAAATAAAACAATATAATTTAAGTAGCAAATTAAAATAAAACATTGATAGAGAAACGGCTAACTTCAAATATGAAAAAAAAGCATTTGACATCTGAAGCACAATTTTTTTTTTCATTTGCACATAATTAGTTTTTGCCTTGACTACTGCTGAGGCAGACATTGCCCAATCATGTCAAATTTTATATGCTGGTATATATCTTTTTAGAGATGATACCTTTTTATTGTAAAAAATGTGTTTACTGTGTGCAAATAAAAAAAAAATCTTCTGCTTCATTGAGGAAATTTTTAATTTTCCATACCATGACAAGGAAAAACTATCCTGGGGAAAATAAAGTCAAAACATACATTGCATATTACAGTGGTCATGAAGGCACTCCATGGTATAACAGTGTATAGTATCACAGAGATATAGTTATCAGTTATGGATATATTAATGATATATTGATCTTTGTGAGAGTATTTCATGTATCTATACAAGTGTTCACTTGTTTAATATGACGACAATGTTGCACTTTACAACATCATTGCTTTATGTCAGTGAGTAGTTGTTTAGTTTATTATTGCCACTTACCTTTGCCTTTACATGTATAAATGGGAAATACACACCCATGACCTATTTAATGTATGTTAATTTATATTAATCTATTTGTATAAATTAGATCACATATTAATTTACAGGTATCTCATTTAATAATATATATAGTATAGTAGTTACTAATCCTAGTGTCTCATTTTTATTTTACTTGGTTTACATGTTTTAATAATTGTAAAGCGCTTAGAGCTTTAAGGTAAGCGCTATATAAAAATGCCTAAATAAATAAATAAATAAATATATTGTAAATATATATAAATCAGAATAGTTGTTATAGATTGAAACAAGATTAATCAAAGTTACTCAGGGTTAAGCGCAGGACATACATATCTGCCAACTGTCTGTTTAGTGATGTCTGCCTACTGTCTTTTTAGTGTTGTCTGCCGACTCTCTTTTTATTGTAGTCTGCCTACTGTCTTTTTAGTGTTGTCTGCCTATTATCTTTTTAGTGTTGTCTGCCTACTTTCTTTTTAGTGCTGTCTGCCAACTTTCTGTTTAGTGTTGTCTGCCTACTGTCTGTTTAGTTTTGTTGAAAATATCATGTATGAGATCATATTATTAATATTATATTATGGGGAAAAAGAAAAAAAAAACATTCATTTATTTGTCAATTAAACACCACTACAATAAGTCTTCAGTTTAACACATAAACTATTTTGCATTAAATGAAGAGAAGCTATTTTAAAATTGCACAATATGCACACAAAAGATGGATCAGATTTTTCCAGCACCTCTATATATTTAGTCATTAAGTGATACACAAAAATGCACACACCTAAAATAACAAAAAAAAAAACCCAGAGGGTTATCTATGTCAGCTGCTCAAATAACATGAACAAAATATAAAAAGAATATACAAAAAAAAGAATGAATTTGTTTAATAAAGAAACGTTAGCAAGCTGTATGCTCATTTTAATTTTAAAAAAAATGTAAACATGATATTTAGTTACAAATCTATTATCTATCATTTTGCTATTGTACATTATAAATGTGTCTCTCCCCCGAACCATGTTTCAGCACACAAAAAATATCTCTTGATAGATTTCTATAGAATTATAGCTATAACATTAAACGATTATTATTATTTTTTTTTACTTTGTTATGACCAAATATACTGAGTCAGATAATGCAAGATATTGGCTGCCTTCCAAATAATGGACTTTGGCATCTTTAAAGTTTTCATTACAGACCTGTTTACCCCTGGGTTAATGTCAGGGAATTTTGTTGCTCTCAAAAACGTAGTTTCCAGCTCCAAAGAGTAGTTTGTTCAATTAAAGTGGAGGGAGGGGGGAGAGCTGGGCTTGTTTGCAACAAAATACGAGCTGTGTAAGGAAATCGACTCAACTGCTTATGTAAGTTAAGACAAACATAAATACAAGATATGGGCTCCGATTTCTTTCTTCCCAAAGAGAAAAGGTCTTATGTAAAAGCATTTTTCTAATTCTGGATGTTAATGAGACAACCAGAGCTAGAGACTGCAATCGGCCAATCACTTTTATTTGCCCAATGTTATTCTTATTAGGTTGCTTACGGTGTTAACATAAAAATGCGAAAACCTTTTACTGAAAACGCCGCAACTATTAATTTTTTTAAATATAAAATAAGCCGAACAGACAAAAAAAACTCCCTAAAATGTAGTTTAAAAAAATCTCTTCGAAGTGTCCTGGTCTAAGGCTCAAAAACATCGTTACTACGGTAAAAGCATAGGATCTGTTATTATATAAAAGACTTCTGACTAGCTCTCAGATGGATTGAGGATATTGAGTCAAACTTTTTGCATTCCTGTTCTATCTTGAAATCTTTAAAACAATATTCAAAGTAAACAACAATTTGAATTTTAAAAAAAAAATTAAAAAAAAAAAAAAATTAAATTTTGGCCTACGTTGACAAAAATTCTCCTCGTCACACAGAGCGTGAACTCTGTTCACTTGCAAGATGGTCGGTGAATTCGGTGCAGCAACTATCTTCAAACTGTTCATTATCTTCAGCTTCAGACGTTCTTATCTTTGACTGGACATAATTGGAAGGGCCATTGACGTCAGATTCATCTTCTTCTTTAACAGGGGCCAGCTGTTTGATGCCATGAAAACTTAGCGACTGACACAAGGGATTCATGACATATCACTCACATTGGCAAAACATATCACTCACATTGGCATGACATATCACTCACAATGGTGTGACATATAATTCACTTTGGGTTTTCAAGAAAATTTTTGAAGTGAATATGGTACTAGGTGGTGCAAATGGTAATAATTGTGTAAATGTTGCTAGGTGGTGTAAATGGTTCCACATGTTGGTGTAAATGGTTATAAGCGGTGAAATTTATCCAAGGTGGTAAAAATGGTGCTAGGTGTTGTGTAAATGTTGCTACATGATACCTGTTTGTGTAATTAGTGATAGGTGATGTAAATGGTATCTGGTCACTAGTTAAAAGTAGTAGATTCTAGTTCTACGTTATGATTGGGGTTGTTAAAAAGATTTGTTAAAAAATATTTGAGAGGAGTTTAAAAATAATATTATGTGATATAGGTAAAATTTCAATTGGGAGAAGCATTGGGGTTGAATTTTAATGTAAATTTCTTAGTTCTAGTATAATCTTTAACAGAGTAATAGAGAAAATATATTTTTTTTTGTATACATATTGGATTAATGTCTGGAGGAGAAGTGGATAAAGAGCTAATTGCTATAACCAAAGATATTTAAAAAGTGGGCAGCTAGTGTTGTTACCAAGTGTGGATGTAGCTAGGGTTGTTATGTGTGGATGTGGCATGTTACCATGTGTGTATGTGGCATGTTACTATGTGTGGATGTGGCATGTTACCATGTGTGGATGTGGCAGACAGGTAAACAACCATAAGACAAGCCACCAACAGATTCAATATTTTCATTAAATCCTGGAGGATAAAAAAAAAAAGCCACCGTACAAAAGTATGTCTTGAGAGATGGTGGGAAAACTGCAGTATAGAACCACTTCCCCTCTGACAGATCTCGACACTCCCGAGGGGAGAGTCTGACAGAAATAGTCACAGATTCTGATTGGTCAACAATGTGGACTTCAGACACATTGATTAGAATACAAATATCAATGAGTATCAAATACAGTTTTCTAGTTTTCATGGCAATATTGACATAAAAGATATTGCTCCACTGCAAGATGCATGTTTGTATTTGTTTACATCCTTCTTAATTGCACTATACAGAGATAGATCCCTGATGCCCAAACCAAAGTTTCAATATTTGGGGAAAGAAGGAAGAACACTGCCTCAAATGTGATACTGAGAATATACTAAACTGAAGTGCAAAAAATGAGTAAAATCTCAACTGACTTGCACCAAAGCACAGAAAGGGCTTTAAAATATTAAGGTGAAATAAAAAAAAAGAAAAGAAGGGCAAGAAAGGGCAAGAATGAAAAGAAAGGGCAAGAAAGAAAAGAAAGGGCAAGAAAGAAAAGGAAGGGCAAGAAAGAAAAGAAAGGGCATGAAAGAAAAGAAAGGGCAAGGAAGAAAAGAAAGGGCAAGAAAGAAAAGAAAGGGCACGAAAGAAAAGAAAGGGCAAGAAAGAAAAGAAAGGGAACGAAAGAAAAGAAAGGCGGCTGTTGTTGCTGTTGTTCATTTGGCGCCATGGATTCCATCACAATTATTTATAAGACAAGAATGAAGGGCAGACAACAGGTGAAACAGAACAATAAACACACATAAAATCCAATAGGAGACTACTCAGTCGGAAGTTGGTGTTTTAGCCTCATCAAAAACAGCGTCATCGATTTTCTCATAACCTCTGACACAACTCTCATCTAAAGCGCTATCACTACAGTCTGAGTCCAAATTCTCTTCACCTACTTCATCTTCCCCTGGACTCCAACTTCGGTCAAATTCCAACTTGGTGCGTGGCGGATTAGGCGATGCTGGTACGGTTGACGGATAAGGGCCCTCGGAGCAAGACTGGTCATCTCCTGATCCCGACGACTGCTGGAGAAAAAGATGGTTTGGTGCCCCGGGGAGTCGTGAGGTTCTGACCAAGGATGACTTGCTCCAATTGGAGGACACTGACGTAGGGGTGCCTGGAGCGTTCTCCCCTTTCTGAAAGGCCATGATGCAGTGGAGGTTTCCCCCCGATTTCCTCGAGGTGTCACGGTGGATGACTCCTTTCCAGTGTTGTCGGATGTTGAAGTAGTTCGGACTTTCACAGTTAAGGTCAGTACTTATGTCATCCCAGCTGCGGATAAACAAACAGGATGATGTACAGCCAGTGCTAATGTCATAACAAATGTGGATAAACAAATAGATAGATGTCAGGTCAGTACTAATGTCAAACCAATTGTAGATACACAAATAGATGGATGTCAGGTCAGTGCTAATGTCAAACCAAATATGGATAAACAAATAGATGGATGTCAGGTCAGTGCTAATGTCAAACCAAATATGGATAAACAAATAGATGGATGTCAGGTCAGTGCTAATGTCATACCAAATATGGATACACAAATACAGCTAGAAGTGGGAAATACAGCTAGTAAAGCCGACAAAGTCACTTCACAAACAAATTAAATCCTCATCATAAGTCTGTGATCTTGTTCTTCATGCACCTTGATTATTTTGTGCATGTCCCCATCTAAATTTATAAAATAAGGTTATTTACACAGAGATCATTCAGAAATTATGTTCAAATGTTTCTAAACTAAATAATGATCTCTGCGTAACTATCCTTTGATCTCTGTAATTACACTATTACGCAGCCAGTCAGACCTCATGTTGTTATTAATGTAAGGCGCTGACATGTTTTGTATACATAAAATCTGGACACTGACTTTTTACAATGAATGCTGGGATGTTTACGGCTGGTGTCTCCTATGAGAACCCACGTGTCCACTGCCTTGTCGCCAACATTGCACCTGCAAATACAAAACAATCAATCTCTAAAGTGTTATACACAATTTAACAATAAACTGCCCAGTAACAGAGCAGCAGTGTGATTAAGTGGGAGAGAGAGATTGTGCTTAGAAAAAATGAGAATACTATTATTGCAAGATGTGCCATTGATGAAAGTTTTGTTCACAAACAATGAACATTTATAAATTCCTTTTCGAAAAGCTTCACTCACAGAATAATTGAAAATTTTGCCAGGATAGGTTAGAAGAATTATTCACAAACTTATTTGTTTTTTTATTTTTCCAGGTGCAGCAAACATAACTGACACCAGGGGTCCCTGAACTATAGCCCATGGGCCAAATCTGGCCTGCCTAGCTGTCAGAAGGGTACCTGGGCGGCAGTGAAAAAATATGGAACCAAGACTAAGACCATTTCAATTGACAAATTTAGGCCCATAATTCCCATTAAAACACTGGTACCGATAAGTTTGTGTTACATCACAAAGAAGATACATGCAGTGTGCTGAGGAATTCGTTCATATCTTTTTTCAACAGTGTCTGAGGGACACTGAACCGCCTCCCTGCTTTAAAAAGTTTGAGAACCTCTGACTTACATGGCTGGTCAATAAAAGTAAGTAAAGGCTAAATGAAAAAAAAAAAATGGTCATGGTCACTTACATGTAAGCATTGACACATTTAACCTAGGTCATGGTCACTTACATGTAAGCATTGACACATTTAACCTAGGTCAAAGTTCACATACTTGTCAGCACAACAGAGTTAAACTTGGTCATGTGTCACTTACATGTAAGCAGGAGCACCAAAAAACTAGGTAATGTGTCATTTATATGTCAGTACCAACAGAGAAACTAGGTAATAGGTCACTTACATGCAACACCAGCACAGTTAAACGAGGTCAAGGGTCACTTACTTGTAAGCATCCACACAAAACAGTGGTGTCTCCTCGTAGCCAATGGGACAGAAGTAGTGGTTGTGGCAGTGGTAGATGAAGGTCGTGTTGAGGTCTTTGAGTCCTTGCTTCAACATCTTGAGAGCCATTTCATCCGTTACACCCGCAGTTCTGTTCTTCCCGCAAGGTTTGTACATGAAATAGCTCCTCCCCCTGACCTTGAAATGGACATTCAGCTCTTGGAACCATCTGAAAATATGTTATTTGATGTTAATTCATTTCGCCAAGATGAAATTATCATTTCGTGGAGAAATAAGATAGATAAGATTCTTTTATTGATCCAAATAAATGGAAATGTTTTTTGATTGCATTATACATTTTCAGCACAAAAATAAAACAATTTGAACACAAGACATTTATAATAAATTATTTCTAACAGCCATTCAGTGAGTTCTCTTAGCAAAATCTGGGATTTATTAGTTCTCATTCAGATGTGTGACTTCAGAGGAAGCATGCCGGTAAATTCGTACAGATTGGGGAACAAAAGAATTTTTATATCGGTCAGTCCTCGCCCTGATGGAAAGAATTCGTTCCGAACGGCCCGATCCTAAGTATCTGTGATGCAGAGGGTGGGATGTATCATCCAAAATGTGTTTAGTTTTGCAAAAACATCTTTCTTCAAATAGTTCTTCAAGTGAAGGATGTTTAGTTTGTGTTATGTTTCTAGCTTGTCATTCACTAGTAACAGACTGAAAAACTCAATTCTAGGAAATTTTTTGTTTGTTTAATGGTAAAATTTTGAATACTCATTGAGACTGGTTTGATGTAGGAGATTATGTTGGGGGTTGGAAGGGAGGGAACTCATCCTTACAGAAGCCAAACTAATTAAAAACAAAGCTTCAATATTTTTTTTTCTTATTGTCATTCCACCTTGTGAGTTGCAGTTTTAATATTGATCCATTTTAATGCTATAAAAAAAAAAAGGTAATAATAGTCTAGGCCATAAAACATTTAAAAGCATGGTGTTTCTTTCTTTTTGCTAATTTTATGTGAAGCGTGGTGGATCTAGCCCTAGGCTGGGGTACAGCGCTTTATAAGACCACTTTGATAATAATAATAACAATATTGATAAAATAATACCCAATGATATGTTCAACAAAAACGCTAATATGTTGTGTACAAACCTCAGCAGTGTGAGATTCCCTGTGATGGGGCCAAATTTGATGTTTTCAAATGGAGACTGAAATCCCAGGATTTTCATGGCATTTTCTTGGGTGAGTGGCTTCAGGCTGTAAGAGGAAGAAAATATACTGAGTGTCTGTGGGAGGAAGAAAATATACTGAGAAGCTGTGAGAGGAAGAGAATATACTGAGAAGCTGTGAGAGGAAGAGAATATACTGAGAAGCTGTGAGAGGAAGAGAATATACTGAGAAGCTGTGAGAGGAAGAGAATATACTGAGAAGCTGTGAGAGGAAGAGAATATACTGAATGTTTAACAAACATATTTTTTAAATGAAGTAATTCTACAAATTGTGACTATAAAAAGACATCAACATTTTGGAAACTATGACTAGTCATACGACTATCTTAGTCAGCTAGAATGATTAAAATACTTGATGACGAGTGTCACCTTTATTGCAGCCATTTTGGCTGGTGACAAGTGACCCTTCAACTGCAGCTATTATGGCTAATGACAATGTCCATTAAATGCAGCAATTATGGCTAATAACAATGTCCCTTGGATACAACAATTATGGATAGTGAAAAGTATCCCCTTACATGGATCAGGAATTTCCCACGCTTGAAAGGCCATCATTATCAAATTTTAAAAATTTAATCAGAAATCAATCTATCCATCTCACTCAGTTAAATGACTAATATTACTAAAGACAGTATTTATTACATAAAATCACAGAGCAGATTCGTAAAAAAGGGGGGGGGGGGAGCAAAGGGTAAACAAAAATCAGGGGGTGCCAAAATCATCTTTTGATAGGACCTTAATAGTGAATTAAAATATAAGATCCCATGTACTTTATTAACTTGATAGGACCTTTATAGTGAATTAAAATATAAGATCCCATGTACTTTATTAACTTGATAGGACCTTTATAGTGAATTAAAATATAAGATCCCATGTACTTTATTAACTTGATAGGACCTTTATGGTGAATTAAAATATAAGATACCATGTACTTTATTAACTTGATAGGACCTTTATAGTGAATTAAAAGATAAGATCCCATGTACTTTATTAACTTGATAGGACCTTTATGGTGAATTAAAATATAAGATCCCATGTACTTAACAAACTTGACTTATTAAACTGTTCTTCAATGGGTGGTACTTTTTTCCTGAAACGGAGGGCATCATTTTCTGGTTTCAACCAGGGTGCCGATTTACCTTAGCATGGCCCTGCCACAGTGTGTAAAATATATAAACTATTTAAAATTATATGGTAATTTACGTCACAATGACATGTATGTCCTAAAAGCTGACACAGGCCTCACCTTCCATGTCCCATTGATGAGTAGAGGAAGTTCCAGCACGAGACGACAGATGAGATCCCACAGGATGTTTTATACTGCGGACGACTGATACAGTACCTGAAATAATGAACACACTAAGTAGTAGTGAAATAGTGAAAACACCAAGAAGCAGTGAAATAGTGAACACACCAAGTAGTAGTGAAATAGTGAACACACCAAGTAGTAGTGAAATAGTGAACACACCAAGTAGTAGTAAAACAGTGAACACACCATGTAGTAATGAAATAGTGAACACACCAAGTATTAGTGAAATAGTGAACACAACAAGTAGTAGTGAAATAGTGAACACACCAAGTAGTAGTGAAATATTGAACAGACCAAGTAGTGAAATAGTGAAAACACCAAGTAGTAGTGAAATAGTGAACACACCAAGTAGTAGTGAAATAGTGAATACACCAAGTAGTAGTGAAATAGTGAACACACCAAGTAGTAGTAAAACAGTGAACACAACAAGTAGTACTGAAATAGAGAACACAACAAGTAGTAGTGAAATAGTGAACACAACAAGTAGTAGTGAAAATAGTGAACACAACAAATAGTAGTGAAATAGTGAACACACCAAGTAGTAGTAAAACAGTGAACACAACAAGTAGTACTGAAATAGAGAACACAACAAGTAGTAGTGAAATAGTGAACACAACAAGTAGTAGTGAAAATAGTGAACACAACAAATAGTAGTGAAATAGTGAACACACCAAGTAGTAGTGAAATAGTGAACACACCAAGTAGTAGTAAAATAGTGAACACACCAAGTAGTAGTGAAATAGTGAACACACCAAGTAGTAGTGAAATAGTGAACACACCAAGTAGTAGTAAAACAGTGAACACAACAAGTAGTAGTGAAATAGTGAACACACCAAGTAGTAGTGAAATAGTAAACACACCAAGTAGCAGTGGAAGGACGTTGTCCATCAGCAGATTTATCAAAAGATTTATGTGGTCAAAAGGAAAGCCATCATCATCATCTGTAATGTCCATCCCAATGTATCATGACCATCCAAATGTATAATGATAATTCCAATGTTTAATTACTATGAAAATTCACTCACCATCACATTGTCAAAATGAAAATTCACTCACCATCACATTGTCAAATGACAATTCACTCACTTTCATGTAAAATGACAATTCACTCACCATCATATTGTAAAGTGACAATTCACTCACCATCGCTTTAAATCCAAGATTTTCCTCTCTGCCACATCTCCCAGCTCTCCGATGGCTCTGGCTTTAATTAACTCCCCTTCAGACATTGGGGCTGATGCTAAGCTCGACTCTGTTATGTCCGGACTGAGGTCAAAAGTTAAGGTTCTTACCGGGGCTTGGTCAAACGCCGTTTTGGACCAAAGGGAAGGAATTGCTATAAGATAATTTTATATATATTATTGTCTTGTTCCATAGAGGAGGTGAATGAACAGAAAAATTAACATTGCAAACTAGTAACTGATGAACACAATATATTGGTCCAGCAACTTGATGGGGCAATCATAACAAGATGGGGGCACTACCAGATGTTAGGGGCACTACAGATGATTGTGGGGGGACCCCCAGATGATTGTGGGGCAACACCAGATGATTGTGGGGCAACACCAGATGATTGTGGGGCAACACCAGATGATTGTGGGGCAACACCAGATGATTGTGGGGGGACCCCCAGATGTTTGTGAGGCAACACCAGATGATTGTAGGGGCAAGACCAGATGATTGTGGGGCAACACCAGATGATTGTGGGGCAACACCAGATGATTGTGGGGCAACACCAGATGATTGTGGGGGGACCCCCAGATGATTGTGGGGCAACACCAGATGATTGTGGGGCAACACCAGATGATTGTGGGGCGGCAACACAATGTTATAGTAATATGAAAGGGTCAAATACCTGAACGTTTCTTTGACTTTTTCACACGGCCTGTCATGTCCGATATGTTGATGTCCCAGGAAGGAGATTCGTCAATTTTCTCTGTTTCAGATGGTTCAAATTTGAATTGGTGGTCTGGAGCACCCAATTCATTTAGACAGTGCAGGGATGTCTGAAGTAGGACAAACGAGGATATGAATGGGAAGTAAGACATAAAAGGATATGCATCTGAAGTAGGACATACAAGGATATGTATTGGAAGTAGGACACACAAAGATAAGTATTGGAAGTGGGACACACAAGGATATGTGTTTGGTGGGCAGTATTTGGTCAATAATTTCATTTTTCTTTCTTTAAAATTTGTTTTATTTCATTTCTTTTGTTAAATTTCTTCATTTTACCAAGTTCTGCGTTTTGATTTAAAATAATTTTGCTTTGGAAAATATAACATCAGTATGTTCCATTATTCAGGTGCAGTTATCCAGGACAAATAAAAGCAACAAATGAGAGCAGCCAATGAGAGCAGCCAATGAGAGCAGCATCACAAATAAAAATAAATTGGAGAGCAGCATCACAAAATCCTTTAAAATAACACCATTGATTTGACAAATGGAGCTCGTGTGTGAAATTTATGTAACTTGATACTCGTGTGTGAAATTCATATAACTTGATACTCGTGTAATAAGGTTATAAAATGAATCCATGAACTTTGACCTGGCAAGTCACCCTGTTTATATTGTCTGCAAAAATGTTTATTAAAAACAAAATGATATCACGGCATCACAGCCGAGTTCTTGAACATGTCCACAGTTATCAGGTCCAAAGTTTGGGAGGCACATCAGTGATGACATGGACAGGACATCAGTGATGACTGGCACTGGACATCAGTGATGACATGGACAGTACATCAGTGATGACTGGCACTGGACATCAGTGATGATTGGGACTGGACATCAGTTTTGTCATAGATTCATTGATTATTTATTTATTATTTTATTGGGGGGGATGAGAAGAAAAAATTGGGGGGAGGGGGCAAAGTGTGCTAAAGAGGGACTGGGAGTTGTCAAAAAATTCAAGTGTCGTTTCTTTTTTGACAAAATTAATGTTATGACATCATAGTTCATTTCTATTACATCCGTTTTCACATGAAAATAAATGTCCAAATCTTGTCACAAACTTTTAATTAGCACGTGAAACTGTGTTACAAGGGATCACAAGGATGACAGGTTTTAAAGTTACTTACTACAGTACGCTACACATCCAATGTGATAACTTACTTCAGTAGGACACACATCCAATGGGATAACTTACTTCAGTAGGACACACATCCAATGGGATAACTTACTTCAGTAGGACACATGTCCAATGGGATAACTTACTTTAGTAGGACACACATCCAATGAGATAACTTACTTCATTAGGACCCACATTCAATTGATAACTTACTCCAGTAGGACACACATCCAATGTGATAACTTATTTCAGTAGGACACACATCCAATGTTATAACTTACTTCAGTAGGACACACATCCAATGTGATAACTTACTTCAGTAGAACACATGTCCAATTTGATAAGTTACTTCAGTAGGACACACGTCCAATGTGATAACTTACTTCAGTAGGACACACGTCCAATGTGATTCTCTCTGTTTCAGACTCCAAAGATGAAGAGCTAACTCTGGCATAGGTTGCTGACTGGGAGGAGCCGCCATAGCGTGGTATCCTGGAATTCCCACTCAATGGCGACACACCTCTCAATCTCTCCCCCGAACTTCTCCTAACTCTGGAATCACCGCTGCTCTCACTGAAGCTCTGGTTGTCTCTCCTTGACCTTGGCAACATGGAGGGCCTGGGTTTGGGAATATTCGCCGCAGCCTGGGCAACACTCTGGGCTATTTCCGCCTCTGCCACCTCAAACTGGTTCAAATCCTGATCCAGCTTGGCCAAGACCTCATTCCTTTTCTGTTCATCGTCCCCGTGGTTCATGTCTCCAGGTTCCTCCGTGGGTGCCTCCCTGGACTGCGTGAAGGTGTCGCAGGACAGAGTGACCTGACATGACTTAGCCTCCGTTTTCCCCTCCAGTTGTGATGGCTGCTCATGTTCGGAGGAGCCGCTAAAGCTGTCATCAGCCAGGGTGTTGACGTCTGTAATCTTTTCTTCGTTGTGGTTAACATAAATGTCAGTGACCGCTTGATGCAGATCTCCGGTTTCTGAGGGTTAAAAAATGAAGTTTTCTTTGTGTAATAAAATTGTTTATTTATATAACAAATCATGCAATGGTCCATCACAATTTATTCAAAATAAAAGTGAAGATCTCACTCTATTAACATTTATTCCCTTTTTTGTTCATAATGTTCCTATTACTTCTTATATAGGTGATTGGTGACATCTGACTGTTCCCTGGTGTTGTAGGTGACATCTGGCTGTTTCCTGGAATGATTGGTGACATCTGACTGTTAACTGGTGTGAGAGGTGACATCTGAGTGTTCCCTGGTGTTATAGGTGACATCTGACTGTTCCCTGGTGTTAGAGGTGACATCTGGCTGTTCCCTGGTGTTATAGGTGACATCTGACTGTTCCCTGGTGTTAGAGGTGACATCTGGCTGTTCCCTGATGTTACCAAAAATAGTTAAAAGATAAGAGCAAAAAAATGTGGGTAGTTCATATGCTTGGAGTGTGTAGTTCATCTGCCACTAGTGTGTAGTTCATATGCCCCTTGTGTGTAGTTCATTTGCTGCTAATGTGTAGTTCATATGCAACTAGTATGTAGTTCATATACCACTAGTATGTAGTACACATGCCACTAGTGTGTAGTTCATGCACCAGTAGTCTGTAGTTCATATGCCACTCTTGTATAGATCATATGCCACTAGTGTGTAGTCCGTGCCCCACTAGTATGTAGTTAATGTGCTACTATTGTGTAGTTCCTGTGCCCCTCATGTGTGTTTCATCTGGCACTAGTGTGTAGTTCATGTGCCACTAGTGTGTAGTTCATGTGGCACTAGTGTAAAGTTCATGTACCACTAGTGTGTAGTTCATGTGCCACTAGTGTGTAGTTCATGTGCCACTAGTGTGTAGTTCATGTGGCACTAGTGTAAAGTTCATGTGCCACTAGTGTGTAGTTCATGTGTCACTAGTGTGTAGTTCATGTGCCAATAGTGTGTACTTCATGTGCCACTAGTTTGTAGTTCATGTGGCACTAGTGTAAAGACCATGTGCCACTAGTGTGTAGTTCATGTGCCACTAGTGTGTAGTTCATGTGCCACTAGTGTGTGGTTCATGTGTCACTAGTGTGTAGTTCATGTGCCAATAGTGTGTACTTCATGTGCCACTAGTTTGTAGTTCATGTGGCACTAGTGTAAAGATCATGTGCCACTAGTGTGTAGTTCATGTGCCACTAGTGTGTAGTTCATGTGCCACTAGTGTGTAGTTCATGTGCCACTAGTGTGTTGTTCATGTGCCACTAGTGTGTAGTTGATGTGCCACTAGTGTGTTGTTCATGTACCATTAGTGTGTAGTTCATGTGTCACTAGTGTGTAGTTCATGTGCCAATAGTGTGTAGTTCATGTGCCAATAGTGTGTACTTCATGTGCCACTAGTTTGTAGTTCATGTGGCACTAGTGTAAAGATCATGTGCCACTAGTGTGTAGTTCATATGCCTCTTGTGTAGTTCATGTGCCATTAGTGTGTAGCTCATGTGCCACTAGTGTGTTGTTCATGTGCCACTAGTGTGTAGTTCATGTGCCACTAGTGTGTAGTTCATGTGCCACTAGTGTGTAGTTCATGTGCCACTAGTGTGTAGTTCATGTGCCACTAGTGTGTAGTTCATGTGCCACTAGTGTGTAGTTCATGTGCCACTAGTGTGTAGTTCATGTGCCACTAGTGTGTAGTTCATGTGCCACTAGTGTGTAGTTCATGTGCCACTAGTGTGTAGTTCATGTGCTACTAGTGTGTAGTTCATGTGCCACTAGTGTGTAGTTCATGTGCCACTAGTGTGTAGTTCATGTGCCACTAGTGTGTAGTTCATGTGCCACTAGTGTGTAGTTCATGTACACAGTCAAACACTTTGTCTATTTCAGGAAATAAATATTGAATAAGATTTGTATTTAAATACGACATATTATTTCAAGTTTTATTTAAATTTCTTTGGAAAGAGATCAAAACACCCTGACACAATCACACCCTGAGAGAAACACACGCTGCGATAAGCATCCCCTTAGATAAGCATCCCATGAGGAAAACACACTGAGATAATGACATCCCAAGACAATAACATCCTGAGATAAACATTCCCTGTGATTATCACCCCCTGACATAAGCATCTCCTGAGATAAGATTCCCTAAGATAAGCAACCCCTGAGATATTTACACCTTGGGATAAGCATCCCCTGAGATAAGCACACCATGAGATAAGTATCCCCTGAAATAATCACAAAATGAGATAATCCCCCTGAGATAAGCATCCCTGACATAGGCACATCCTGATATAAGCATCCCATCAGATAATCACCCCCTTAGATAAGCACCCCCTTATATAAGCACATCCTAAGATAATCACCCCTTAAATAAGCACCCCCTGATATAAGCACATCCTGAAGTAATCACCCCCTTAGATAAGCACCCATTGACATAATAAAACCCTGACATAATCACCCCCTGAGATGCGCACCCCCTGAGATAATAACCCCTTGAACTAAGCAACCCCTGAGATATGCGCACCCGGTTGTGAAAGCATTCCTCTGAAGTTGGCGTGTTCTAACCCCCCCCCCCCCAACTCAGCAGTCCAAACAACTTTTCCCCAACTCAGCAGTCCATACAAAATTTCCCAACTCAGCAGTCCAGACAACTTTTCCCCAACTCAGCAGTCCAGACAACTTTTCCCCAACTCAGCAGTCCAAACAACTTTTCCCCAACTCAGCAGTCCAAACAACTTTTCCCCAACTCAGCAGTCCAAACAACTTTTCCCCAACTCAGCAGTCCATACAACTTTTCCCCAACTCAGCAGTCCATACAACTTTTCCCCACTCAGCAGTCCATACAACTTTTCCCAACTCAGCAGTCCATACAACTTTTCCCAACTCAGCAGTCCATAC